GGTTGTTAACCATTGTCATAGGGCAACATGTGTACTAACTGTTAATTGAGAAACTATTTGCTCTGTAAGCCTTCACCTGAAGTGCAATTAAAAACAAAAAAAAAAAAGAGGATCATTTCCTTGGATCCTTAGTCTCTAAGATGGCGTATTCACAGGGTTGCCAGATAACATACAGAACCAAACCCCACCCATTGCCATCAATTCTGACTCACAGTGACCCTACAGGACAACGTAGAACTGCCCCACAGGGTTTCCAAGGCTGTAAATCCTTAAGGAAGCAGACAGCCATATCTTTATCCCAAGGAGTGGCGAGTGGGTTCGAACCCACGACCTTTCTGTTAACAGCTGAGTGTTTAACCACTGCGCCACCAGAGTGCCTTCAAGATACAGAATGCTCAGTGAAATATGAATTTCAGAAAAACAAAAAAGGTCAAAACCTTTTAGTAGAATCACAGGGCCCTCAGGCTAAAGTCCCAGGTTCTTATTTATTTACTTATTTAAAGTCTAGGCACCCAAACAATGCATGGCAACCCCATTTTGTAACAAACTTCAGAAGACCCATTGCATAAATATTTGCTGTGCATACGCATTTTGAAAAGGAAATCGGCCCCAGTGCTCTACCAGCATCTTAAACCTCTGCTCTCCCCAAAGTTAAACATCAGTAATGCAAAGGGATAACTGCATCAAACCCCGCCATTTCCTGACACCTGAGCTTCCTAGCAGCCAAAACTCAATGGAAACACAGAACAATTTACCAAATAGCATCTGGGAGAAAAGTTCAGCACTGAAAGCAGGGGAGTGTGGCTGGTACGGTTAGGAGGGAGCAAAAGCTGGTTCACAGGGCCTGCACGGACTTACATGGAGTCCCTGGGTGGTTAATGTGCTTGGCTGCTAACAAAAGGTTATAGGTTAGAGTGCACCCAGAGGCACCGTGGAAAAAAGGCCTGGCAATCTACTTCTGAAACATCAGCTGTTGAAAACCCTATGGAGCACAGTTCTACTCTGACACACCTGGGGTCGCCAGAAGTCAGAATTGACTCCAGATCACCTGGTTAACTGACTTACATAAGCACCTGGGACTTTGGCCCGCGGGTCCTGTGATTCTCTTAAAAGGTTTTGACCTTGCAAACAATCAGGTTTGATTAAAAACTTTGTCACTGCCCTGCGGAGACTGGATTGGAGACAGGCAGGGCTGGTGAGAGGTGAAGGCAGCCTGGGAAGCTGGGGTGGAAGGAAGTGAACAGCCGGGAGAGCTCTGTAGCAGGTGGTGGAGGTAAGGAGGGTTGGGAGGAGGTTCCTCAGGGCTCAGGGCTCCTCCCTTGTCTTTATGTCTTTTGCAGCCACCACACAAGGAAGTTGGTGAAGTTGCTGCTCTGCGCCCCGCCCTAAGCAGGGAGCCCCTTTCCGGAGCCTGTGGGGTGTCCCGTGATGACGCCGCACAGCCCATACCTGTGTCACGGGAAGTAGACACGCAGCGCTGCAGCTTCTGCTGCCATTTCCTCCTCTGATCTCCAAGAGGCTGGGGAGTCCTCTTCTTTGTCGTGTTTCTGGAGCTTTGGAGAGAAAAGCAAAAAAAATGGACAGGCTCATTAATGGGCCTTGGCATCCCCTGGAACAAGTGTGATGGGCCTTGGCATCCCCTGGAACAAGTGTGGAGGGAAGACTGAGCACAGTCAGCAAATTAGAGGCCTCTAGGTGTGTGTGTGTGTTTATGGTGTCAGTTGCCAATATTTTTAAATGGGGAGGTTTCACATAAGAAGCCATATCTCTAGCTTCTGTAATAAAAGAACCAGATGAGGCCGCACTGCAGCCATTCAGTCTTGTAATTGTCTGCTGAGGCTAGGGAGTGGCCTCCCAGATACTTTTTTCGGTGAGATGTTCTGCCATTCACCATAATCCCCATTGTTCTCTAATGCTTGGTGGGCTTCACTCACTTGTTCCATTTCCCAGACCCTGAAGGCATTGAGTTTGCCTGCTGTGGCATAAAGAGGCCCGGTGGTGGAGTGGTTAAAGCACTCGGCTGTTAACTGAAAGGTTGGTGGTTTGAATCCACCAGCTGCTCTTTGGGAGAAAGATGTGGCAGTCTGCTTCTGCAAAGAAAGATTACAGCCTTGGAAGCCCTGTGGGGCAGTTTCGCTCTGCCCTTTAGGGTTGCTATGAGTTGGAATCGACTCGATGGCAGTGGGTTTGGTCTTTGGCATAAGCACGCCCCATTCTCCGTCATTCCTCCAAAGGGGTCTGTGGCTCACCAGGGTCCTCTGTGTCTTAGCCTCTTCTCTACGAGCTTGGAGTTGTGGTCAGCAAACCGAAACACCCCCAGCCCGTGAGTACTGAGTATGCCCATTAAAGAGGCTTCAAGGAGGCAAACTGACAACACTCATCAAAATACTAACAACTGGCCTCAGTCAACAGGGTCATTTTAAAATCCTCTTCAGATACCCATATTTATTAAGAAAACATCTTGCATATTTCTTAGAATTGAAATTTTACTCACTCTATATGTAAATCCGTCAGAGAGAAACAGGATGTTTTCAGAACTCTCATGAGAAGAGCTCAACTTCCCCCCTTAATCTTCTATTGCAATTCATTTTTGTTAACTAAACTTGTTATCCCTGTGTGGGGCTCTGACACTGTAAAATGCTGAAGGTATAAGTTCCTCACAAAATGCATGGTGTAGTATTTTGTGTAAGTGATTTCAAAAGATTGCGGCAAAATGTTTTAATAGCGTCAGTGACAGCTAGTATTTATAACGTGGAGGGCGGTTTCTTCCACACACATTACCTCATTCAGTCCTTATCATAACCCGTAAGGCAGGTACTATTTAACTCCATTTTATTGATGAAGATGTTGAGGTTGGGTTCGAGCAGATTCATTCACCTGTCCGAGATCACCCAGCTTGTTCACAGTAGCGCCAGGGTTGGACTTTAGCCAGTCCCCAACAACTTTTGCCTTTTTATCTATCCTGGAAGATCTACAGTGCCATCAAAGAGAGAACTTTTCCACAAATACCGCTACCCCACTCCACCTGGTGCATGTACACAAAAAGCTAGAGCTTTTGAGACGAATCTTGTCAGCACAGCAAAAAGGCAACTGAAACAGTCGAGTTTGACATCTCCAGCCCCAGACACCCCACCCTGGCAGTTTGCAGCAGATGGAGAAATGTCCCTATTTCTTTCAGCGCAAACTTTGTTACAGAAGGCAAGACACTGCAGGAACGAGCGCCTGGCTCTCCCGCGGAGCTGTATTTCCACTCGGAGTGAGTTTGAGTCTAACTGCGGTTCATTAGCATATAGCCGGGCCACAGACATGTTTATGAGGGTCAGGGACCTTTCCGTCAGAATCTGGCTGCCCGCATGCTGGTTGTACGTTTCGCCGCATAGGTTTAATTCTCCTTAGTGGAAGACAACCACGTTAGGGAGTCATTTCCTTCCTCGCAAAGGCAGCTGTGACGCAATTGCTACAGGCGAGTCAAAAGGAATTGCTATTCTACTCAAGAACTAATTTTCATTTTGCTACTAGCTTTAGGGCTATTATAAATCCATCTTGTAACAATTCAATAGGATGACAAAGAACGACGCAAAGCCCAGGAACTAGGACCTCCCCTCTTCTGGTGCTCCCATCGAAAGGCACAGAAATCAAGCATGAAGTGGCCCCCATCAGCACTGATCATACCAGATGAATCCAAATAATTTAGAGTCTCTGAACGTTAATGCCTTCCTGGTGATGATTAGGCGACTGTCTGTTATTCTCATATGCCTCACAGATGGCAACGTTGCGCCAACGCTTTGAGGTTGTTTACGAGAAATAGGAAATAAATAAAAACTAATCATAGTTGCAAAGTTCTGGTGTATGTGGCTTTAGAACTTCCGACGGTTCCCTCCTGAAAGTCGCAGAGCTGTACACTCTTTTAGGACAGTGGTGCTTAACCCGGACTACCCGCTGGAATCACCTGGAGAGTTTTAAAAAATATGGACGTCTGTGTCCCGCCCCAGAGATTCTGGTTTAACTGGTCTGGGGACCACCTGGGTTTGGGAGTTTTTAAAAACTTGGCAGGCGATTCTAAGGTGCAGTCACTGTTGAGAAGCAATGCATTTGGGAGAAGTGAAGGCATGCTAATATGTGTAGATGGAGCCTGGAGCCCTGGTGGCACAGTGGTTAAGAGCTACAGCTGCTAACCAAAAATGTCGGCAGTTGGAAGCCTCTCCTTGGAAAGCCTACATGGTCGTGATGAGTAGGAATCGACTCTACAGCAGCAGGTTCAGATGGAGCCCACACACATAAATAAATAACATCTCACTTCTAAGTGTGTTGTTTGCAACACAACCAACAGTATCCAGCCTGTCCTTTGCAAACCCTGCTCTTGAACTGCTTTTTTACTGTTTTATGCTTCTGTCAAAAGGGTGTTTGGGGCTTCGGGCCACAAGGCTTGTCACAGCGACACTAGGATGTTGATCCAGCGTAGGGGCCCCGAATGCATTTGCAATCCTCGCAGGAACAGGGAGCTAAGGAAGAGCACTGATGGGCAAGACTTGGGTCCTACATGAACCACCCAGGTGACTTGGAAATTGAACATGCTGCAGTTGGAGCAGAGCTCAGCTTCCCTGAGGCAACCCAAGAACCCAGTGGTGGCTGTGGTTGCCCTGGCTAACAGAGGGAAGCCCTAATGATCTTAAACCACAGCTTATCCAAAAGGCACTGCCACTTTGCCTTGGGGAAGCTTTAATGGAGGAGTTACACTTCAGATAAACTTTCCTGTTTCGCTTAGGCTGCCCTCAGGGAAAGGCAGTGACCATTTGTTAACACACTAGGTATTTATTCTGTCCTTGCAATGCCTTGAGTCTTCCTACAGTCCTGCTGCTGTGTTCTTCATACAGTCCAGCTTCTTGGATTATTTGCTCAGCATACAGATTAAATATCAGTAAGTATGAGGAAAGGATACAACCCTGACACACACCTTTCCTGATTTTAAACCATGCAGTATGCCCTTGTTCTGTTCAGACTGCCTCTTTGTCTGTTTACAGATTCTGCTTGAGCACAATTAAGTGTTCTGGAATTCCCGTTCTTCATAATGTTAACAACTTTTGATCTGCAGGTGACACAACCTTGTTTCCTGAAAGTGAAGAGGACTCGAAGCTTACTGATGAAGATCAAAGACCACAGCCTTCAGTATGGATTACACCTCAACATAAAGAAAACAAAAATCCTCACAACTGGACCAACAAGCAACATCATGATAAACGGAGAAAAGATTGAAGTTGTCAAGGATTTCGTTTTAGTTGGATCCCCAATCAATGCTTATGGAAGCAGCGGTCAGGAAATCAAAAGACACATTGCATTGGGCAAATCTGCTGCAAAAGACCTTTTTCCAGTGTCAAAAAGCAAAAATGTCACATTAAGGACAAAGGTGCACCTGACCCAAGACATAGTATTTTCAGTCACCTCATCTGCATGTGAAACCTGGACGATGAATAAGGAAGACTGAAGAAGAATTGATGCCTTGGAATCATGGTGCCGGCAAAGAATATTGAATATCTCATGGACTGCCAGAAGAATGAACAAATCTATCTTGGAAGAAGTACAGCCAGAATGCTCTTTAGAAGCAAGGATGGTGATACTTGGTCTCACATACTTTGGACGTGCTATCAGAAGTGATCAGTCCCTGGAGAAGGACATCATGCTTGGTAAAGTAGAGGGTCAGTGAAAAAGAAGATCTTCAACAAGATGGATTGACACAGTGGCTGCAACAATGGGCTCAAGCATAGTGATAATTGTGAGGATGGCGCAGGACCGGGCTGTGTTTCATTCTGTTGTACATCGGGTCACTGTGAGTCAGAACCGAGTAGAGGGCACCTAACTGCATAACAGCAACTGCAATGCCAGGGGCTGGCCTTGGAACCAGACCACTGAACAAGAAGACGGGCCCCTTCACAGTCCTCATGGGGCACCAGGTAGAGAGGATAGACGCCAGATGGCTAATTACTAGACAGATGAGCCTTACCAAAGGGGAAGGCGACAGGGTGGGGCTAACCTCGTTTGAAAGTCAATTTAGTTTCACATTCTTATAAAGAGCTTTTGGAGAAACAAACTGTTGTGAAAAAGAGTGATGGGGCAGGGTTATCTGAGACACATCAAGCAAGGCCTCTCTAAGAGGGTGAGGTTTAAGGCCAGACTTTAAAGGGCCAGATCCTTAACCTATTTATGCCTCAGTTTCCCCTCTGTAAGACGGGGGTAGTAAGGGTTGTGAGCAGAGTCCATGGGTGGTGCAGACAATTAGTGTGCTCAGCTGCTAACTGAAAAGTTGGAAGGTTCGAGCCCACCCAGAGACACCTCAGAAAAAAGGCCTAGTGATGTACTTCTGAAAAATCAGCCATTGAAAACTCTATGGAGCACAGTTCCACTCTGACACACGAGGTCACCAAGAGTCAGAACTGACTCAAGGGCAATGAGCAGTGATGTGCCTGACACAGAGTAAGCACTATGTAGTGTTAACTGCTGCTGCTATTACTGCTATTATTATTCCTAGCTGGATACGCTGTGCCCTTGACGGTGGCCA